GGCGCTGGCTGCTCTGTGCGGGGACTCAGCGGCTGGAGCAGCAGCTGCGGCTGAGGACCAGGAGTTTCCCACAATGCAGTGCTCCTGCGCATGAGGGGGCGGGGCCTCATCAGCTCAGGCTCCGCCCCCTGCCTTACTGCGGCGGGCGCCCTGACCACTGGGCGCTCTGGGCCCCACCCCGGCTCCGTTTTCCCCCCAAATATATTTTTATCGATTTCAGAGAAGGAGGGAGGGAGAGAGAAACAACAACGATGAGAGAATTATTATTGGCTGCCTCCTGCGCGCCCCACACTGGGGATCCAGCCCGCAACACGTGCCCCGGCCCATCCCACCGTGACTCATAGGTGGACGCTCAACCCCTGAGCCACACCAGCCTGGCCTGGCTCCGTTTTTAACCCCAAGAGTGGGTTAGGGTCAGGCTGGCCTTCCCGCACCCCCAACCCAGACAGCGCGGGATCGGGCCAAGTGCCGGTCAGCGAGGGGGCAGGGGCACCCAGGCCTGCAGGGGAGGCCGGTGATAAGAGGGGCTCCCCCCCCAGCCCCTAACAGAGTCTCAGAGAGGAGGCATCTACTTAGAATATTTATTTATCTTCTTACATGACAAGACACAAAAAGTCACTTCTTAAAACTCCTCAAAAGAAAAAAAATATAAATCTGTAAGCAGCAGCAGCAGCTCCCAAGGTACAACAGATGACGGGCACAACCGCGGGCGGGGGCCAGGCCTCGGCCCCAGGTAGTGTCGCTGGGAAGGGGCCTCCTCAGAGGGGGCCTGGGTGGTGGGGGACACAGCACCGGCACGTCAGGACCAATCACCAACACGATCACCCGGCAGGGGTGGCAGGGCGGGCGCCTGCCTCTGTTCACAATGGGGAGGGGTCTGGACAGCGGGCGGGTGGGGCTGCAGGGGCCCAGAGAGCAGGGTGGCCGGAGGGCAGCTCCTGGCCGTCACCCCTGCCAACAGAGCAGGCGCCCCTGGCTCCATACTGGTCACGCTTGCCCTTTCCACTGGCCAAGGTCAGACCCGGGTGCAGGTCTCAGAAGAGCAGTCCGCTGCAGGTGCAGCAAGAGGGGCTGGGCTGGAGAAACAACTTCTGGACAGGGTCAGCGGGGCACAGGTTTACACAGCACACACACACATGCACACGCACAGGCGTGCGCACACGCACACACTGCCTGGCCACGTGGGAAGGGCAGCGGCTCTCCCATATGCACACAGACCTCTCACACGCTCTGGGCCCCCAGTCTGGGGTGGGGCAGAGGGGCCCACCAGGAGGATTGTTGGGTCCCACAGCTGGGGGTGGGGTTTCCCTGGGAGTCAAGACTCAGTGTGGACCCCCCCGCCTGCCTGGGATTCCTGGCTCAATGTGGGGGGCAGGAGACCCCGATTCTCCTGTGAGGCTGGCCGAGGTGAGAGCAGCAGTGGGGAGGCTGGACCGATGGACGGACGGAGGGCTGGACAGAGCCACTTGTGCTCAGCAAGTTAATAAATAGGTTTGTGCAGCCTCCCCTTTGGGGACGAGCCCGTAGCCTGGAGCAGAAGGTCCACCCCGCCCAGCCCTCACCTGGGAGCCCCCAGCTCAGAGACCAGCTCTGTCCCGGGGGGTGCCCAGGCCAGGGTGGAGTTGGGACAGGCTGGCTCCGGGAATGTAAAGATTTCTGTGATTTCTACATAAATAACACATTGATCCCCGTGGCTGTGCAGGCAGGACCCCTCCGGTCCATGTGTGTGGACCCTGCACCCCTCCCTCTGCCCCCATCCACACGGGGGAGGGGCGCAGAGACGTTCCCCTGCTTGGTCCTGGGCGGGCCGCCCAGCCCCAGGCCCACTCTAGTCCTGCGGGTGGGGGGGGCCCAGGCTCAGGGCTGGGGGTTCTGCAGCAGCCCCAGCAGGGTCTCCCCGATGCCCAGGAAGTAGACCACCTGGGCAATGCCAAACAGTGGGGCGATGACCAGGGCGCGGCAGTAGGCCCCCTTCAGAAAGGCAGAGGGACCCTCATTCCGCAAGATCTTCCTGTGGAGAAGGGGGGGGGGCGGTCAGAGCCGGGGCCAGCCTCCCTGCACCCCACCGCCCGAGGGGCCTCACCCACCTGGCGCAGTCCAGGAACCCGGAATAGGTGTCTTCATTGACCCCGCGCTGGAGCGACTGCAGGCGCGTCTTCACCACTACAGGGAGGCCCAGGTCAGGGGGCTGCTCACCCACCCCCACCCCCACCCCCAGCCGGAGGGAGGCCCAGGGCCCCCTACTGACCATCACAAGGGTTGACAGCCACAGCGGCCGTGCTCCCAGCCACACAGCCCGCCAGGAAGGACACGTAGAAGGGGGACTTCTCCTCGGATGCGGACTGGCCCAGCTGGTTCAGGTTGGCGAAGAGGGGGAAGTAGACGATGGAGAAGGGGACGTCCCTGCAGGGGCCGGTGGTGGTGACTAGAGGTTCAGGGTGGGCGGGCCTCTCTCCTCCCTCCTCCCTCCTCCTGCCCTTCCCGCCCTTCCCACCTGAGCAGCGTGGCCCCCAGTCCTTTGTAGAGGCCGGCAATGCCACGGCTCTGGAGCAGGTCACGGGTAAGCTGGGTGGCCGTGGGCCGGGGGGCGGCGGGAGCCTCCACTGCTGGCTGAGTGCCCCCTTGTGTGGAGAGCTGGGCCTGGGCAGCCAGGATCTTCTTCTGGGCGGCTGGGGAGAAAGCGGACAGGACAGGCTGGCTCTCCCTCAAGGTGAGGGCAGGGACCGTCCGGGCCAGGCGGCTGCCCCACCCCGGGGCTGGGTGCCCTGCCCCCGGCCACACTCACCAATGCGGCCGGCGTCCTGGAGCTGGATCTTGAGCATCTCCATGGGGGTGGTCACGATGACCTGGCAGGTGCCGGCCCCACAGCCGGCCAGCATCTCCCGCAGCAGCGTCAGCTTCTGCCTGCGGGGGGGTCACGGACAGAGTTGGAGGCCCTGCTGCCCAGGCGGCCGCCCCTGCGCCTGGGTGTGAAGGGGATGAAGGGGGACGGGAGCAGTGGAGGCAGACGCAGCCCTGTGGGGGCACAGCACCCCTCAGCCTCAGACACCCCTCCAGGCCCTGCAGCGCGGGCACCGAGCCCGGCAAACAGATGGCCCCGCGGCAGGAACCGGGAAGGGAGGCAGGGCCCTTTTCGCGCAGACAGATGGAGAAGCTGGGGGTCTCAAGCGCCCCAAGGGGTTACCCTTTCAGCCCGCCCTCTGGGGACAGAGGAAAGCTGGTCAGTGCCCACAAATCCCAGCCTATGGGGGAGCAGGCCGTGGCCCAGGGCCAAGGACCATGGGGGCTGGAGCAGCAGACTCAGCGCCTGCCTCACTCCTCC